TCCAAGCAGCTCCCACTTGTAGGCATTCAATGAAAGAGAGATAGCGCTAATTATAGGATGATGACACACGATCTCTTACTGGTAAAGACAGTTTTAAGATTTTTTTTTTTTTTTAACTGCAAGTCACCTCCATTCTGTATTCTGTGTTTGGATGCAATTTGTATTTGCAAAGACGTAAGGAAAGTTAATGACATGCATCTCATAGACAACGATGTAACAAATTGAGTATTTCATCCACATCTCCTTAGCTCCTTGCTAGCTACTTTCTGGCTATCTAGTCCCATGCTATTATGCATTCTTCAGAGGGGAAAAAATTTTTTCAAAAAATAATCACACGGAGTCTGCAAAGACATTGTAAAATACATAAAACAAGTTCTTTTATTCAAGTATAGGAAACAGATGAAACTATGACTAAAAATTAATTTTAGTTCAGACCCTCCCTCCTATTCCCAAATTATTTTCTCACTAATGAAAAGAAACATCCTATTACACATATATGATTTCCTCTCCTGCAAAACAGCTCAAAATTGGAAAATAAATTTTCATAGTTTTTTTACAGTTATATTCACACTTCCTTATATATTGTGCTCTTTGAATTTTCTTACTGGTTTAGGATTATTTCATGTGCAATTTATTCTCCCTCAGAATTTCATGCTAAATAGACCCATAATGTTAACAGAAAGAAGAGAGTATCGTGTACTGCCATATTCTTCCTATAACTGATGACAAAGTTTTTATAAGCATGTTAAGAGCTACTGTTATAATAATCACATGCAGGTTTCTAAGCACTGACATTAAGGTGTTGTTTTTTAATAAAAAGAAAACTTACTAAAGCTAAACCATAAGATTTCATTGACAAGTATTTACAAATGTGTATGTCAACAGCAACATCTCATGCAATCAGGAAATATTTGTTAGCTATAATTATCATAGAATCCCAGAATGTTGGGGGTTCGAAGGGACTTCTAGAGATCCTCTAGTCCAACTCCTCGCCAGAGCACGATCCCCTAGGGCAGCCACACAGGAACGTGTCCAGGTGGGTTTTGAAAGTCTCCAGAGAAGGAGACTCCACAACCTCTCTGGGCAGCCTGTGCCAGTGATCTCTCACTCTTACAGGAAAGAAGTTTCTCCTCATTTTGAGGAGGAACTTCCTATGTTCTAACTTAAATCCATTATTTCTTGTTTTAATGCTGGCCACCACTGAGAAGAGATTGTCCCCTTCCCCTTGACACTCACCCCTCAGCTATTTATATATGTTAATAAGGTCCCCTCTCAGCCATCTCCTTCCAAGGCTACACAGCCCCAGCTCTCTCAGTCTCTCTTCACAGGAGAGATGTTCAAGGCCCTTAATCATCCTCGTAGCTCTCTGTTGGACTCTCTCCTGTAGGTCCCTGTCTCCCTTTCTTGAACTGGGGAGCCCAAACTGGACACAGTATTCCAGGTGTGGTCTCACCAGGGCAGAGGAGAGGAAGTGGAGAACCTCCCTAGACCTGCTGGACACACTTTTCTTAATGCACCCCAGGATCCCATTGGTCCTCTTGGCCACAAGGGCACACTGCTGTCCCATGGACAACTTACTGTCCACTAGGACTCCAAGGCCTTTCTCCACGAGGCTGCTTTCCAGCAAGATGTCCCCTAATCTGTGCTGGTGCCTGGTGTTATTCCTCCCCAGATACTGGACTCCACATTTGTCTTTACTGAACATCATGACGCAATTTGCTAAATCTACTGACTTAAAAACCTTGAACAATATAATAATAAGTATTCTACTAACTATGTTCAGAAAAAAATCTGGACCAGCATCTCAGGAGTACTAACTGCAACCTATTTATGGCAACAGGCAAATGTCAATCAGAAATAAAGGAGTTACTGATATAAAGGATCTAAATTGTAACTATTGTTAGAAATACCTCTTGAACTTTCAAGTATGGGCACTTTTTTTCCATAGAAAGTCTGTCTGATATTTAATTAATCTACTTTATTTATTCTACTGCCTCCAATAATCTAAATATTCACAAACATTCTTTCTTTCTCCTCCAAATCTAATTATTTCATTTTACACTTCTTTCAAGGAAAAAATAACAGGGAAGAGAGATGTTTATGTCTTTACAGTATCATTCATTATACAGTCTTAAATCCAAGGCACTGTATTGACTGGACCAATAGAATTTTTATGCTTATATTGCATTTATCATGGTATTTTCCTCTCAAAACAAGACTGACTACATTCTTAAAATTTTATGGTGCAAATATACCAACACTGTAAATCAATGTGTAGAAGATTAATGTTATATTAAGCCATCAAGGTGGCCATTACAGGCTGAGGAACATACCAGGCTTTCTAAGTTGTCACATAATTAAGTCATTCCAAGAAAGCTCTGAAAAATTAATGTATCAATAACTTTATTCCCAAGCTCAGCTAAATTAACTTTTGGGATACATGAATCCAGATGTGTGCATCTGTATTTTCACCCTTTTGTTTTGGCACTGTTCCAAAATCACTTAACTCTAGCTGCTTCCTTGAGGAAAATGCTCCATAAAACAAAAATGATGCAACATCTGTTTAGAGAAAAACAGTTGTTCTCAGTATCCATTATTATTGTTGTTTGAATGAATGATCTAACTGCTATGGTAAAAAAGCAGAAATAACAGACATTTATCCTGGCCTGATGCTTCCAGACTAAATGAAAAATTTTAACTATGACCACCAAAGTTTATTATTACTGCATATCTCCTATAATTCCCTCTGAATTTCATGCTGGTCCAAGGGTACACTTAAATAATTGCCTATTACCCAACTGAAGATTCTCCCCCCTTGTAACGATATAATATATACAGGCTCTTCATTAACATTCTGTCAGTTGCCTGACAGTTCAGGGGATTATGTACATACAGTATCTTGCTTCAATCTTAACCAGTATGTAAAAGGTTAAGGCCTACATCTTAACTATTCCTTATTTAAGAGGTGTCATTCATTTATGCCTAACAGAGGAATACACATAAACTGAATAATTCAGCCTTCTCTGTATTATCCACTGCACACTGTTTTCTCCCTGTTAACAAAAAAAACCCCAAGTCTATTTTTATCCCTTCCTCTTTCCTCTTCTGAATATACCAAGTCTGTTCTTCCTCACTTGCTTCTCTCCTAGTTGTAATTCATTCTGCATCCTGGCTTTCCTGATTTTATCGGTTCATGCTCTAAGACTAAAGTATTTCCATTCTTTTCCGATTTCTTTTTTTACTCTCAAGTCTTCAGAGAGTTAATTTTTTTTATCCTGTATTTCCTGTGTATCCTCTGCATTTAACATGAGTACCATCACATCAGCTAAATGTACTTATAACTTACAGTGACGTAGAGGAATTACACTATCCACTGTCACCAAATCACCTTTCATCCTTGGATTTTCAACTAACTTCATGCAGAATTTTGCACTAGTGACAACCTAGGATTGTACCATTCACAGTCATTAAAATTCCCTGAAGTGGGAGTTTTTAAGAGTACAAATAAAAAAAAGAAATAGTGCTTCTTATCAGTACTAAGAAATAACACCAATACTTCTTAAAAAAAAAAAAGGCATAGAAAGGCAATCATAGTGGCAGTACTATGAAAATGGTTTCTAGAAACATCAGCATTAAATTGTCTTTTCAATTCATTCCTGAAACAATCAACCTCTTTTAAAAGCTACAAGTATAAGATATTGCTGCAAATGTTTTGGAAATCATCTTCAACTTGCCATTTACTCTCTCAAAGTGTCAGACTGAGGTACATATTTCTTGTCCAACTGCACCCTGTTGGCAGCATGAAGCAGTTGCATGTCCAGTTTATGGGCTATTTTGTTCTCAACAAAGTCATACAATGGCTGAGGAAAACTCTGGTCCCCATTTACGAAAGCAAGAAAATTAGAGATAGAGAAGGGTGATTGCTCAGCTTACCGCCTACAGGTAGACACAAAGAAATAGGGAGGTTTTTCATTTCAAAAAGGAGTTAAGAGAAGCAAGGAAATTGAGCATGCTCAACACCAATACAAGATCTGGTCCTTAATTTCCTTTAGGACTTTGCTCAAGCCTGATGTTATCCACTTCTAGCAAAAAAAACATGTGACACTGCACAAGTTTTCATTTTAAAATAATTCATGTGTGCCAGCACCAGGTTCTTAGATCTAACTGAGAAGGTAAACGACCAACAGATAGCCTCAACAGGTTGCCTTGACATGTATTAAAACCCCACTAGCCTTTCTTTACTTGGTGTAACACTGAAAAATTCCTTGTACGGAAGTCTACTTTCCCTCCTATTCAGCTTCCTCTCTGAGGCAGGTGTCTAGAAAAGGGACAACTACTTACACATCTGCAAACAATTTGCTGAACTAGAACAACCACCTCCTGAAACTTAAGAGACAGAACTAGAACTATGCTTTCCCTTTTTTCTTTAGTGAACAGTGTAGTAATCCCAAGTAAATGACATGTAAAGCTGTTATGTATCAGACTCTGTAATCACATTTCAATGTTTTACTGGTTGTAAATAACATGCATGAGTGCTCCAAGGACTCATTAACAACATTAGTTGTTTAATGATCTGAACAGCAGAAGCTGCCAATTATTGTATTCCATTTTAAAGTATCACTTAAAGCCACACATGTAATTATTATACCTGTGTTGTAAATTCATGCTCCTAGCTAGAGAGTACTAGGAATGTAACTTGTAATGTACAGGAACGGCTACTGATAAATATTTATCAATTTCACCTATGGAAAAATACTGCATTCTTTGCATGTTTACTGCCAACCAAACAGCATCCCCCTCGCCAGTAGTTCCCAACTGTGGAGAGAGGCCTGAAGTACCTTACACAAGGCAAAACACAGACCAGTTCTGCCCAACTTGCCATTATTTTGAAGGATTTAGACAAGTGCACATCAGTGACCTCTCCCAAGTCTCCACTACAAAAAAGACAGCAATTGCTCTAACACACCACTTATCAATGTTAGCTTTTCTCACCTTAAAACTTACCTGAAATAGCCAGCGCTTTGGCTTCAAGTAGAGCTGGTAGTTGAGTCTCAATATCACTCACTTTCCTCCTCAAAGTACTGCAGAGCTTCTGAGTCGTACAAACCTAGATTGAGGCAGACAGCCATGATATATAATTCATTCATGTAAAAGTAGAAGGCAATTTAAACAGAGCTTCAAATATTCTTGGTTTACAGACATGACATAACATCCTACAGCAAGGTGAAGAAGCTTAATAAAAAGCGATGTCTTTACAGAAATACCCAACATGAATAAAAATTTCCAGGCTCTGCCACACATTCTATCATAAAAATGGGGAATGGTATAAGCATTAGCTACCTGCATGTGAGAGGACATGTTTCACTACTAGATACTAAGGCTGCACATAGAAGAAAGGCTATCTTATTAATTCTGTACAATTTTAGCATTAACAGTGATGCCTGGAGTGGAGTATAAATAAGCCAACATTTGGAGTTTAAGAGGTTATAACACAAAACGTACAATGATTTTTATACAAAATATACCACGTCACACATTGTAACTGAGAAAAGGTAAAGCAGCCATCATGAATTCTCTGCACAAGTGATAAATAAGGCTATATCAGCGCAATACTATACTTTGTTTCACAATCAGGAGGCACAGATGACTGGGGTTCAGGTTTCTGACTTTTCCTCTCCCTCTTCTTTATCTTTTTAACTGGAAGTTCCTTCAGCCATTAATTAAAACTGGTATTAAATACATGGATAGAGACAGGAGAAAAAAGAAAGGAAGTTGCATCTATTTTACATTTGAGTGTACACTAGCACCTCAGAAGGACCTTATACAACATACACAATCCATACAACACCCACATATTCAAAAATCTTGGTTCTTACTCCACATTGCATCATTTGCGAAGGAAAGTAAAATGAACAAACAGAAAAATCCCTCATCAAGGCAAGGCAAATACCTTGTTCCGAAGACAGACATCAAACACTTACTTAAAATTGTTGATGACACTTGGAAAAACATTGCATTCATTGGAACCAAGGGTAAAGTCGTAGTCAAAAGAGGCACGGGCCAGTTGTGAAGAGATGAGACGTGAAATGAAATCTCCAGAGGAAACTTTCCCTGCCCTCCTTGACTTTCTTTTCCCCCTTCGCAAACAAGTGTATAAACCATACTTATTAACAGAAGCACAGCTATCACTTCACTTAAGAGCAAAAGCCTTACAGCTTTAGTGGCTTATCTGTTTGTACAATTAAAGTATAATAATTCAGCTATGACACTAACTGTAAATCCTTTTAAATGGATAATACCCTTTTGCTTTAGCTGAGAGCATCTGTTAACCATAAATGGGTCATATTTTTTTCTTCAGTCAACAGAACTACCCTCCAAGCAGTAACTGCTGCTATCTAAAGACTTCAGAGCCATCCTATTAATTTAAGAACACACATACTCATCACTTCTGCACTTATAATTTTTCAATTCCCAGATATTTCATTTTGTTTCAGTACCCTCTTCTAAGTGACATGCCTACTAATTCACTTAAAATGCTTTTAAAAACCCAAACCTTTCAAAGGTGAATAAATGTGCCCAAAGAACCCAAGGGCTATTTCTGTCTCACATCTCCAAAATAAATCTGAAAGTTTTTAATGACTTCTTTCTAAGCTCTCTTTAGGGGTACTGAATGGCTCAGTGAGTTGCAATTAGATGGGGAATCTTTCAGCTCCAGGAAAACTGCATGAATACATCCCACGCTGGTAGTAACTTAAAGTCATTACCATAGACAGCTGTTTGGCAATTATGCAAAATAACCTGTGAGGTTTAATCAGTTTCTAGTGAACACTGTCCACTTTGTAAGCACTACTGTCAGAATGAAGCTCGCTGGCACTCCTTTATTAACGGACCAAATGCAGAGACCAGAGGCTGAGAGGAAGCTCCCCTAGACTGCAGAGATGATTCTTCTGGAACGTGAGATAAGTACGTTACCAAGCCTCTGCTTGTATCTCTGTCACGTGTATTCTGTAGATAAATGAACAACATTAATCTTCAGAGCTATCATATGGCACAGCTCCGCAAAACTAAATGAGCGACTAGGAGAGGCGAAATAATGCAACATCCTCTAAACTAATAGCACTGCTTCTACGTTACATCAGTTCTACTCTGCAAGCTTCAATTGTTTTCATTTTTCTAATTATTTTATCTTAATAACAGCTACCATTATTCATTATAGTAGCTTATTCAGCCACTAAGAAAAGGTTATTTTGCAGCTAACAAAGATGATGAACATTCATAAAGCCAGCATTTTCCTTTGCTGCTGGGGAACGCACCATTCTCCTCAAACCATTTCGACTGCAGCCCCTGCAGCCCCCCAGCAATGCCCTCTCCCTGTTCTCAGAGACCAGCCCAGCTGCAACCCACGGACCAACAAGCTCCAAGTCTAAAAAAACCCTCCTTTTCAGTTTCAGTGAAGTTCTTTATAGTCAAATATTGCTCTATCTATTTAAAAATCCTCTTCAGTGGCTTGTGGGTTTTTTTAAAGCAGACTTTCATTATTTATTTATTTTTAAAGCAGCTCTTATTTAGGAATATACCTTACAAATCTGTGTTCAGACACATAAACACTACTCAAAAAAGCAGTCTATCTGAAACCAGTAGGATGCTGGTTAGCAAAGATACACGGAATCAAGATGAAAAGCAGCAAAATATCAAAAGCAAATTCACCCATTGTCATCCTCTTCCAACTTTCCAGCATATGATGTTAATCTAAAGCAGTAGAAACAGGGACAAGGACACTGACTAAAGGACTGAAATTTCAAGAAAAAGTAAGTTTTGAGTAACCTTCACATTTCTTTACAACAGTACCTTTGAAAAAAATAGAAATCCTCTTTATACTGCCTGAAGAAAAGGACAGCCCACCTGGATCTTCCATACCGCACAATCTTGCCCTTAGCAAAAGCAGATATTAATTTCTGAAGAAAGGTGGCGGATAAGGGAGATTGTTCCCTTCATTAATGGGCTAATCTTAGCTTTTGCAGCCTCAGCTGAAAACAACACAGATGAGGCAGAAAAGGCCATAGGAATACTAGTGGCACAGGGGGAAAGAAAAGACCTTTGACAAAATAGTGTTTTCCTCATACAATGAAAACGTTCAAAAGACCTACTCTATTCATTTTCAAAAGAAAACAATAGGATGAAATGATTCGAATAAATTAAAAAAAAAGTGATTTGGAGGAGTCTCATATGCTTCCTATTTATCTTCTCTAGTAAATAAAAGCCATGGCACATATGAATACAACGAAATTAAAATAATATTTTATCTATTGAATATTTAAAGAAACAAACAGGCTGTAGACTTCTACCTTGTAGACTTTTCCATTGTTATACGATGTTTCAGCTCTTATTGAAAAAGTCTTTAGATACTACTGTTGTAAAATGTAACTTCAAGAGGCACAATTTTGGGGGAGAAGGCAAAATCTGCGTCTCCTTTTAGCTTGCAGATCACTTCACACAACATATCACTCAGGTACTGAATGTTTCATCATTTTAGTAGATGAGCTGTAGGTTAACTACAATCTTTTTCTTGATACTTTATTTATACTCATTTCAAAAAACGTGGGGTGGGGGAACATCATGTTATAATGGCCTATATCATTATTTACCCAGTTGTGTGCAGGAGAGAATGAGCTCAAAGTAAAGTCGGAGAGAGGAAGGGAGGACTACTGAGATGCAGTCTTTAAACGGTCTTTTTAAAAGAGCATGCTAAAAGTGTTGGTTAAGACAACTGGGAAGAACAGATTATAAAAGATAATTTTTTCATTACTTTTAGTTAGTGCTATTAGAGAAAGAATGTGAAAAATAAACTTACATCAGAGTATAAATTCATTACCGATTAAAACCCAGAAATATTTTCCACTCCCTGTTCAATAAAGTCCTATATGAATTAGCCACAATTAATGAACCTTTTTTTCTAGATCACTCCTGCAGCAAAGATGCTCAGTGGCTCTCTGAGTCATCGTGTAATAAAGAGAAAACTTCAGTATTCTCTTTCTTGAAAGGAGGCCATGAGAAAAAAAAATTAAAGGAAAAGTATTAACGATTAAAAATGATCTCTGAGATCCCTTACAGCCTAGGCCATTCTATGATTCTATGACCTCTAGTTAGAAACAAAAGGTACACAAAACATGCCACATGACTTTTCTTCATATTTTCAAAGGGGGATGAGAATTAGATTGCTAGTTTATCACTGGTGAAAGGGCAGGGAAAAGAGGTACTTACGTTCTTCCTTCACACCAACAAAACCAGTCAGCTAAAGTAAGAGGCTCTGTACTAAGACTGAAAACATTCAACTGTGACCAGTGTTCGCTTTCATTTCATGAAACTGAGGAGTCTGTTCCTAAATGGAGACCAGCAGGTGGAGTGATCACTAGTAAAGGTAAGTCGAGAAACGATCGTTTACTCCATCTGCTTCCTTATGCATCTCTCATCTCTCCAAACACAGAAGCTGGGTGGTTTTTTTGGAGTGTATGTTTAAAACTATTTACATGTAAAATCTGTTTAGAAGAAACACCACAAAACCAACTTTGTAAAACACAGACAATATATTAAGATGCAAGCTATTATCTGCTTCTCTCAGTATTTTGAAGAACTGGAAACTGATGTGTACTTACTTTGGCAGTAGTTTCTTTAATGGACATGCTGAATGACTGTTCTTTTTCCTGAAGGCTAGAAGAGATTAAAATAAAGTTGACCACCTCTAATCACCACAGTTTGCTACACAAAACATATTTTCATATGGAAGGTCAGAGATTTTAAGTTGACTCATACTAACACAAAGGAGTCAATATCAATATATAATCTATATATTTGGTTTTGGTGTTTCTAGTCATTAACCAAAATTTTTTTCCACTTGATTCTGTTTATTTGCAAAATGGTCCGTACATTAACTTTACAGTTCTCAATTAATGACTTCATATGCATTTTACTTACCATCTCAAACACAATTATGATTATTTGTGCAACCAAGGTATCTTAAAAGTTCCCAGAGGTGTTCAGGACCAGTGGTTGCTAGGCTGCCTTCAAACACCTAATATAAAGGCGCTTCTGACACAGAGTTTGTAGTCAACTATCCTCTTATAATCTAGTTTCCAATTCTGCCAGAAACAGTTCAACTGCACGTCACCTGTTCTCACAGTAATTTTATATGAAATATCACTACTCAGTTTGTTTCGTTTCATAGACACCTACAAAATATTTGTACCAAATTGATTCAACTGTGGGCTGAAACTGAGGCACCATCCATGCTTATATGAACCATTTCAAGGTTTTCTTCCACATATAAAACCAGATAGGTTTACTGTTTTGATGTTACAGAACCTAATGTAAACTTGTGCCTTTGGTGCTTGCAAATAAATTCACAATTTACATTTTTAACATAAAGTTCAAAAATCCAAGTCAAATCAGGAGACAGTACAGAGATTATTTTTGCAACATTAATACTTCCCTCGCTCCTACTTTGCAGGCGTACACTTTTATACAGCGTTCAATTACCTTATCAGTCTTCAGTGTACATGACAGTCAGCACTCCCCAGCAGGAGCATTTCAATTCTTCCTGTTAGCTGCATCGTAAAAATTGCACTGTTTTCACAACCTAGCACTGACTTTCTTCCTGAGTAAAGAACTATTAATTTATTTCTGTGCTTTTCTTTGGCGTTCAGCACTGAAGTATCCAAAGAATTTCAGAAACATCACTGGATTTATTTCACTGATACTTTTTCAAGATAAGGCAGCCCCGTACTCGTTTTACAGGTGGAAGAAACACGAGTCACTGTTATTCAGAAAGCATGTTAAGACTAAGTGCCCATTTTGACATGCACTCAGTCCCTGCTGCCTACCCCTATGCATTTCACTTTTCTCTAGAGAACTTGCTCCTTCATGTTTCCAAGTACAGCACTTACATAAACGCTAACCCTTGAAACAGGACTCAGTAAGCTTGAACCCCGAAGAACACAAAGTTGGACTCGCACTCAGTTACTGACCACCTACAGGAAGGCTGGCTGGACCATCTCACGCAGTCGCATCCAGGACTGGGACAGCCTCAGCAGCAGAATTCAGCTGTCCAGCCTATCATTTAATTGTATTAATGAGGCAACTATTTGCATTGCTTTCACTAATGACCTGCTTCATGGAGCGCATGCACCTTCTCAATCTACAGCCCAGCAAGATCAGTCACCTCATTACCACCACAGCACACCGGGGTCCCCCCAGCTCCAGATGAGGCCATCTCTTCAAACAATAGCTTCTGATAGTGTAAGTCAGCGCCTCTGTAAGGCAACAAACACAAATGCAGCTGGCTGGCTACATGGAAGTGGTTTAACAACATCTCCTACAAAGTGGTCCCCAATTTCTCCCTTTTCTACAGCAATATATGGGCAAAACAAAATATTACATGTGCAACGATGCCATTATCAGCTGCCTGCCTGCCTCTGGGCATGCCAGAGGGAATGAACTATTTAGCCGTTTCTTTGCTCAGGTTCTGGAGCTCCCAGTGACTTTCAGCATCTCCCACAATCGGCGTCTGAGCTTGTCAGGTTATGTAAAAAGGAGCTGGGCTTTGTGTACAGATGTCAATGGGGAGCAGCAAGGCTGTGGTGTGTAATTGAATGAATAATGGGTGACTGACCCAATTGTTCTGAAACTGCCTTCTAAAACTCAACTCTAAAGATCCAAGACATAACAAAATGTAAAGTGCAGTTATAGCCAGAAGAACAACAGTATAAAGATAGCACCTCTATTTAACAAATCTCTTCCATGTGCCTTTCCTCTTATCTGTTTACTTTCTTCACAGAAAGCCCCCTCAGGTTCATACGACATTTCACTCCTCTGCAGAACTCACACAGCTAACAGAGAGAGATCAATTTTTAATTTCTTTTTAGACCATTGATCCAAAACAGCATTACAAACTAAGACCCAGTTGTAGAGTTCATATTGCTAACAAGGGTGCACAAGTCCATGCAACTTTCAGGTCCAGGTGCTGAGTGGGGGGAAAAAAACCACCCTCTCTATACCCAGATTTCTGTCAGCATATATCATTACTGAAAAATAAGGAATCACACACTGCCATTTCAAAATAATAGTTTTAAGGGAATTTTGCAGAACCACAGTTTAAGAGAATTTTGTATTAATCTGAGTCATATCAATAAAGAATATAATTAGTAAATCATCTTTTTGACACAAGCTAGTGATAGCTGCATTAACTAGACATGAATCTGAGGAATCCTTTTGCTGGAGTTAAAGCATTCATGGAGATTCTTACAAGCCTATTTGTATGATTTATGGTATGAATTTCACAGTAATATGCTGTTAAGTCTTCCGAGATATGCAGTGGGAATCCCTTAACCCTTTCAGAGATTAGTCCATCATACAATTCACATGCAGCAATCAAAATCATGTACAAACCAGCCACAGTTACCAACCAAGAACAGCTATTAACTAAGTTTATTCCCAGGTTGCTTTTTTTCTACCACAAAAAACCATCACAGAGAAGCTCCTCACAAGCTTTCCAATTAACTGACAAGCTAATGACCCACAAGAAAAAACAGGCAGTCAATACTGATTCATTTTAGCAACAAAGGGCTTTAACAGCCATGATCTGTTACATGTGACTTGAACCAGAAATAGCATTTTCTTTTACCGTCACTCTGGAGCATCCTGTTTCACTTAGTGGCACTCTGTCTGCTTAAAAGTTGTTTTACTTACTACTACCAGGAAAAATAGCTTTAAAAATGCTCCTTGGGGTAACACTAAATTCCTGCGTGGGAAGATATCCATAGTTTTGAGTCATTGCTATTCTTCTCTAACAGAACAACTAATCAAGAATTTGACTGCTCGTCCTCACAGTCTCTGTAATTTATTATAAGGACCATTTAGAAGTTATTTCTCAAATTCAATATAAGCTAACTCCATCACAGAGAAAGCAAAGTTATTGACCTAGCTGATGGAAGGACCAGAATAAGACAGGAATTCAATTAACTCAAAATTAACTGACTAAATGCAGGAAAAAAAAGGTTTTTAACACTTGCAGCACTAACAGCAGTCTATATATCATGTGCAATTTCTTCATTTACCCTGAGAGCCATGTAGGTCTATCATTTAAGTGCCTTGCAATGGATTTACACACATTAGGATCCATAATGAGGAGAAAAAAAAAATAACATAGGCTCGCTACATCCTAGGGCCTCATGCTAGACCAGATCAGGAAAGTAGGAGCTGAGGAATTACCCTTCCTGGATGATGAATGAAGTAATACTTTTGCAAAACACA